ATATCTTAATTTTTATATGTATATTTTTTTTTTCAGCTGCAGGTGAGCTTGTTATCAAAATTTCTTCTTATAGCAAAATGCTGCTATGAACAAAGAAATTTTGCTACAGCGATGCAAATCCTAGCAGGCTTGGAAAATCTTATTATAAGACAGTTACCGGTAAGTTTGGGACTGTGTTCTGCAACTGTTTTGCTTAACATAATCTTGTGATTAATTATTGTGAAAAACAAAAATATATTTTGTTTTATTGTAAGGCCTGGAAAATTTTACCTGCAAAAGTAGCTGAAATAATGGAGGAACTCAAGGCTGTTGAGGTATAGTATGAAGTCTTTAATGTAAAAATACTGCTTTGGGGTTGGAGAATATACAAGAACTGCTTAAAAGGATGTCTCTGCAGGATGAAAGCCCTAATCATTATGAAAGAGATTTTAATTTAAGACTTTTAACTCTTAATCCAAGAGTTAACATTAATTTAATCTCAGTATTTCTCAGACGTGTATCCTTTGTGACTAAAAAGCAAGAACTATATTTCACAGCAAGCTAGGACACTAGATACACTTTTTCTGATGATTTCTGCTGGAGCTTTGTGGCTGTAATCTGTTTTAAAAAAATCTTAAATGTTTATTTTACCACAGACATTATCTTATTGATCTATCCAATTTTTGAATCAGAGTGAACTTCTACAATGTAATTTTGGCTGTGACTTAGAACAATTATGTATAATGTATCTTTTTGTTAAAGTTACCTTCTTTTATTCCTGTACTTTAAAATGTTTGCCACCGGATTAATTCATAGTGTTGTCTTCAACACCAGTGCCAAAAGTTAAAATTCATGACAAATAAATACATAGTGCTAAACACATGAAGTGGAGAAGTTTTAAAACCTGCCCTGATACTTAACATGAGATTTATCTGTGTGCATTTTTAAACTAGGTTTTTTTAAAAAGTGACAGCTTGTGCTTGATGGAAGGAGGAAGATTCAAAACGCTTCCAACAATTCCATCAGCCCATGTTTTGGCTATGCACGTACAACAACTTGAAACTGGAGGATTCACAATGACAAATGGAGCTCACAAGTGGACTAAGCTTAGGTAATTACTTGAATTCTGTACGTATGTCACCTAACTTGTTAAAATTAAATATTGTCTAATGAGGTAATGAGAACTAGTGCAGCATTTCATAGCAGTTCAAATCGTTTCAGTCATTTTGGCGTCTAACTAAAGTGACACATACTGTAGAAGAGACATTGCTTGGTGCCTTTGAATTTCCTTTAAATATTGGGGTTTGGGATATTTTTTTTTTATGATCAGCAAAACAAAATAAACTTTTTTTTTTACCCTATTCTCTTTCAAGAAACATTGCCAAAGTTGTGAGCCAAGTTCATGCATTTCAAGAGAATCCTTATACGTATACACCAGATTTCAAGCTGCAGTCTTACCTCAGTCAAAGAATAACTCATTTTAAAGATTCAGACATTTCTGCCTTGGCAGCTGACAACTGTGCCAACTTCCATCAGATACCAGCAGAAAAACATTCTCGAAAAATTCAGGACACGCTGCGCAGAATGAAGGCAACATTTCAGTAATTATTTACATGTCCTCTGTTTTATTCCAAGTGTAGCCTGTAAAACTGGAGTAAGTTGACTTTGTCTCCTGGAACAATCCCCAAACAAATGCTTAAGTGAAGTGAATGCTATCTCAATGCTATCTCTTAAAATGCTATCTCAAGTTGAAATGATTAAATTACTTAGCATGGAATTATAAAATGCTGACTAATGAGATTTGAATCTCTGGCAACTGGATGACAGATCAAAAGAATAAAAATAAAGATAAAAGTAAAGAGAGATTATAGATGAAAAGGATGATTAATTTTGTCCCTGTTCTATAGCATAAAAAAAATAATTAGCCCACCAAAAATTATCTAAAAAATATTGTGGAAATAAGTTAAAATAACAGTTTCTGTTGCAAAGTTGGCCTAGGAGAGTTCAGAGTATAGTTCATAAAAAACTGAATATATTTTTATATAAACATAGTATACTTGTATCCTGTCACAATGTGCATATAATTCAGGGACACAGATCCTCTGCTATCCTTTCACTGTTAGTGTGTCTTGCTTTTATGTTGTGTATTATGAAAACCATAATTGACTTAAATAATTGGTCATCTTTTTCTTCAAGCATCCTAAGAAAGGAGAGGAACGCTATGCGGCAACTTTTTTCTTTTGTTTTGGTTTTAATGTCGTTCAACTAACCTGTTTCCAAAAGAAAGTAAGATCTGAACCTATGTATTACTAATTTGTTGTTCTGCTTCTGCCCTCATGGCCGTGTGAAAACAGTAAATGTGAAATTGCATTTTTTTTTTCCCTGTATTTGGCACAAGAATTACTTTGCCAATCTGTGTACGCATGTATGTGTGCACATTTGATTATGGCTTTTGCTCCTGAGGTTGCTTTTGTAGATTGCAGTGCTCCAGCAGCATTAAATAGAAGATAACTGTGTGAAATTTGGATCCACATCTTGTAAAAATTTGGTGCTAACCTATTTATAGATCTTACACTTACAAGACTTTCTAAATGGCAATGAATTGTGATGCTCTTGCTAGACAGTCTGTTGAGCTACCCAGGTTTATGCAAGGCCAAAATGTTAAGGCTACAGATTAGTTATGAATACAAGTATTTCTACCAGAGTGAACAATGGTAGTATGGGAAGAGAAGTGGGGAAGGGCAAGAAACAGCTAAAATAAGCTCTGTCCTGAAAGTAACTTGCTAGATCTGTGTTTAAAAAAAAAAAAAAGAAAAATGTTTTGAGGGGTGTGAAGAGCAGATGCAAACTAACTCTCTTGGCATGTTTTAGTGAAGGAGAAGGATAATGATGTAAGAAATGGAACGTGCACAGCTCCAGCATTTTGCAAACTGTACTCTTGTATTTGACAGAAATGCATGTGCATATGCTAAATTGTACCTTTTTCAGTCTTTAAGAGGAAAGGTTCTTCTTTTCTCTTGCCAGTAATGGCAAGGTATACATCACAGGCCATCTGCTTCTCATCTTCCTCAGTCAAACCTAAGGTATGTCCACACTTTCCATTAAATACCTCAGTTACTTTTTCATACTAATATGTTAATACCAGACAAACTTTTGTGCTCTTATTTGTTTAAATACTCAGTCCTCAACGAGGTTTTCTTGCATTCGTTCTACTTTTAAGACGATTTATTTTATTATTTACCATATGTATGTTTAACATGTCATTAATTGTAGTATTCTGACCTACCCTTAAGGAAGTAAAATGTGTTGCTATTTCTCCAAGAATTGCCAAATGTGAAAACATTTCTCCTATCTTTATATAATACAGTGATTTAAGAATGTTAATGATAACTTTATCTTCACACATATTTTTCACGTATTTGATCTATATGCATTAATTTTAAAGAATTGTATTAGTAGTTATTTGCTTTTTCTCAGTTAAAAATTACTATTCACTTAAAGCCATGCTTTGCCTTTGAAAGACAGTGAAATTTAAAGTAGCATAATCTTTACCAATGTAAAGAACTCCACAAAACTTTCTAATCACATGATCTTAATAAATACACTTTATATAGTTGCCAGTCAGACTGTTGAAATTCCTTTTGGGGATCTACACATCATTATCATGAGTGCAAAATATAAATTAGCACATGTATTTCTTAAAGTTTTATCAGGATTTAAAGCAACTGCTACATCTAGAAAATATTGTATTTATTCTATGACTATAACTGGTGCTATAAAAGAATTTTAAAATCATCTCAAATCCTCTGTATAATGCTTCAGTGTATCTAGACCTTAAACTGCTATAAATGCATAGTATTGAGTTATGGTACTACTTCAGAGTGTTTTCATCAATCTGATATTTAAGATTTTTTTACTTAGACACCACCCCGCACAGCAACAAACAATGTAAATAGCTATCAAAAAAAATATATCACTTTTACAAGGAAATTGGTTTGCATTTGTCCATGAACTCTGATGTACGCACATCTTACGTGACACAGATTTCAGAATAAATTTCTGTCTAGAATATAACTGTGCTGCGTATTTATGACTAACAAGCAGGAAGGCTTGGGCTAAAGTTTTCTCTCTTTGTGGGTAATGTCCTTTTAAGAGAAAACACAGGACGAAACATGTCAAAGAAGCAAGCTCAGTTGTATCTAGTTGGCAAAAAGTTACTGGCATCAGTAATTGTATTGCATAAATGAGGGACTCTGCAGTCTGGCCCCATGTTTCCATTCCAATACCAAATTAGAATGTTTGGAAAAAAATTGAGTTTGTTCTTTAAGCCAGAATTGCCACCAGCTATCCTAGTTCTTCATTTTTTCCACACTTCCCTCATCTTGTTTTTATGTTGCTTATTTTTCAAACTGTGACCCATGGAGTTTCTGAAACAAAGTCTGTTCCTTGGGAGCCTTTCCAGTTGCTCTGTGCATTGTTGCTCTTTCTATGCCCCTTTGCAGGTGTCTGTCCCCAGGATCCCTGGGGTTTTCAGGCCTCCTGCTAGAGAGCTGGGAACTGTGTCCTACTTACACTAGCATTTGAAAGCAGGTTTCCAGCTCTGACACCTCCAGAAGCCTGCCAAGAAATGGGGATGAATTCAGTTGGACCCTATGACCTATTCCATAGAAGCCCAAACCAAGAAGCTGGAAAAAAAAAATCATGAATCAACACTGATTCATGATTCTGACAAATTTCTTTCCTTGGAAATTTTTCAGCCATTTCTGAACCGTGTTTTTATCATTTTCTACATTTATCCTTTAGACACTGTATTGGTTTCATAAGAATTGCTGAGCCCCCTAACTTCTGTGAGTACTGTATGTGATTTGCAAAGGATTAAAATGCTAGGAAATCTGTTTCTAAATAACAAATTAATCAACTACATTTTGAAAGGAAGGAAGCTAACAATAATTTTTCAGCGCTGAACATATGGTTGATTGTTTCAATCCTTGATATTACGATGAAGGAAAGAGTTTGGATAAATTACCTTTCTCCTTCATACTTGCTTAAATACAATCCAAAGCATATCCACATTTAAATTACATGTCTTCTGTTTTGAATTTTTCCTTTCCAGAACATTAGCTTTCTCAAAAAAATGCTTTATAAATAATTACTTTAATATACATGTTGAACTTTACAAGGAGTCTCAAAGCATTGGAAATACAAGTTTGAACAGTATTTAAATCAAGCTTAATTGAGTGGTTATCTTTGGGATTTGCCTTACTGACATGTATTCTTCATCTATAAATATTTTTTGTCTTCATTTAGTTATTAAAAATACTAATATTATAGATGTAAGAGATTAAGATAGTAATTTTAACTGCCCCTAAGAGATCTTGTAATTATTTTAAGTACCAATAAATAACTAATTTGTAGTTGAAGATTCCTTTGGGGTGTTTTATGTAATTTCGTACTCTCATAACTCTCTAAAATGCGTGTGGAAATGAATAATTCCACCTTTCCAATCTCTATTTTAAGATCTTGCAGCAAAAATTTTGAAGGACTTCTTTATGTGGCTGTTTATAATCCAGCAGCGAGTGACAACAAACCCTGTAGACTAGAAACTTTGATTTGCATCTTCCTCCCTCCCTTTGCAAAGAGAAGCTCTTTAGTTTCTTCTGTTGAAATGTTTGAAGAAGGCTTTTAGCTATTATGTGAAGATTCTTTGTGAACGACCTGAAAGTATGCCAGGAGAGCTTCAGCCTGGCTCTGGTTTAATGTGTGTCCTGTTCAGTGGTATTTGTTTCTCACATTCAAGTGGAATTGGCAGTTGTGGTAATCTAGTCTAGGATCTGGTCTTTGCATCATTCTGTTTATTCACTTTTCGTCTGTTGTAACTGGTGGGTTTGTAACTTGCCTAAAATGCAGGAGTTTAATTACTGTCTTGTAAATCTGCCCTGTGTCTTAGCTGCAAGATTATTTTGCTTCTTTAATTCTTCATTCTAATGCTAAAGTTGGTCTTGTTCTAATGTTGGCATTATATAGATTAAATAGAAAGTAAAATAGAGACTGTGTTTTCAACTGGTAGAACTCAATTGTCATAATGAAATTAAGATCTTAGAGTACTGGACAATTTGAGTTGCCATTATCGGAGAGACATTCTTTGGGAAGCCTGATTGGGCAGCATCAGATTCAGAATTAAAATCTCTACATATAGCTGCTTATTTGTGATTATACCTCATAAAGCTCATAAACAGTAATAAATTATTCACTTAATTAACAGATACTCAGGACATGTTTTTGCAAACAATTTAGTGGAAGAGGTCTAAAAAAAACCTGCTAAATGGCAGGTCCACCCTTGTTTGGTTAATGACAAAGGGGTCGACAGTGGCTTGTTATGATAATGTGACATTGTGTCAGTAAGGCTCTGAAGAGGTCTGCCTGCATTTGGTATTGCTTCATGGCTTCATTGACATGCTCTGGTTTTTGAAGATGACATAAATTTGCTGGGCTATGCAGGCATGCTGAAGAAGATTAAAATTATCTTGGCAACTTGGAAAAATGACACACAATAAAATAAGGTATGTCACACAGAAACATGCAAAGTTCCAGGACAATCAGGTGTACAAACATAGACTAGGATTACTGGGATTTTTTGTGGAAATGGGAGTATAAAGAATAAAGTCACTTATGCTGGGAAAGTGTTGTCTTGATATCCCCTCAAGATATCTCCTAATTCTCTATTTCTTGATGCAAGGAATTGTAAGGGCAAGGACTTGGCAATAGAAGGCCAAAAAAGAACAGTTGACTCCTGAGATTAGTATAGACATACATGGACATTA